AATTCAATCAATCCTTACTTGGTTGTGTAGAATCTGCAGCCACACAAACTACACTTCTTGCATGCCCTCTACAACTACATACACTGCATCATGGGAGATATATGCAAATATATGTAAATTCAGTTTATCCTTACTTTTGTTCGTGTAGAATCTACTGCCACACAATCCACACTTCTTGCATGCCCTGCACAACTACACATTGCATCATGGGAGATATATGCAAATATATGTAAATTCAGTCCATCCTCACTTGGTTGTGTAGAATCTGCAGCCACACAAACTACACTTCTTGCATGCCCTCTACAACTACACATTGCATCATGGAGATATATGCAAATATATGTAAATTCAGTCTATCCTGACTTTTGTCCATGTAGAATCCACTGCCACACAATCTACACTTCTTGCATGCCCTGCACAACTACACATTGCATCATGGGAGATATATGCAAATATATGTAAATTCAGTCCATCCTCACTTGGTTGTGTAGAATCTGCAGCCACACAATCTACACTTCTTGCATGCCCTCTACTACACACATTGCATCATGGGAGATATATGCAAATATATGTAAATTCAGTTTATCCTTACTTTCGTTCGTGTAGAATCTACTGCCACACAATCCACACTTCTTGCATGCCCTCTACAACTACAAAGACATTCAGCTTTCTTGGTTTCTGAATTCCACTCCCAAATAAGGAGTGTTTGGTCATGTGATCCACTCACAATATAACTGACAGGATCACCTGATGAAAAAGTAAAAATAGACACATCACAAAAAACATATTACTACTCTAATGGGTAAACTGCTGGATTTAGAGAAGTTTAGAAAACAACAAAAGGGTGCACTTTAGTTTTGCCAGAATCCTTGTACATTGTCTTCACATCAAAGATACCATGGGAGTATTGTTCTCAAGTAATTTTTTTTTTAATAAAATTCAGCCAAGAATGAGCTCCACTGTCTAATGGACATTAAAAAATCAACAAGGCTGTTTAATATGATAAAAGACCCAAATCATTTCAATTTGTTAGCCAAAGAACCAATTAGTGGCATACACAATTTTTACTTGAATTTTCTCTATAAAAACAAACTCTGCCTTGTATAAAACATCTAGTCTGACTATCCAGATTTATTTTTATAACGAACATGTACTGTACTAACTTGAGGGGTGATGGAAAATCAATGTCTATGTGGCGCCGGTAGTAAAAACAAACATTGTATCACAAATCTTTACTTTGTATATTTATTTATACATGAACATTATTCATATATATTATAATGCATCAGCAGATTTTATTCAGAATGAATATTGTATTTACTCTAGTTGTAGCACATGTGTTTCTGTAAATGACAATATATTTACGGTCAAACTGTGGCGCTTGTAATAGAACAATAAGGAAATGACCATGTGCTTATTAATAGTCAAAACACTTCATATTGGTACTTGTTCTGCTTGGAAATATTTCTCTGATATTGGTCCTAATCATACGGCTTTGAATTATTCTATATATGCTAAATTTTTCTTGTGTGTATGGCCACACAAATTTTTATATTAAATCTGATTGTCTTACCTTTTTTTATCCAAGCTACTGCTTTGACTGGTTCTGTGTGGTGTGACATTGTTATGATATTTTTACCATCTACAGTCCAAACTCTGACAGATTTGTCATATGAACCGCTTACAATGCTGAGAAAGAATAAACGATGCTGTAAACATCTGAATTTTTCACGATTTTATGACGTTCATGAAGACATAATTTCACAAAATTACTGTGACTGTGTGTTAGGACCTAAGTGGAATTTTCACTGCTAGGAAATTATACAATTTCTGTAAAAGCTGTTTTTTGGGCTAGTTGTTGAAACTCTCCTGAACAATGTAACAAGACCCATAAATGTGCTACATATATAAATTTGGTTGTTCAGTTTTGTCTCATAGTTTGTGCTGTTTTCATCTGCTCTAAGACCGGCGTTCCACAGCAGCACGCACATAATCCATAGAAATACATGGTGCGGTGGTGAGTGTCTTAGCAACATAGAACGTTCTGTGATGTAGCTCCGCCTCCGAAAATACTCACCAATCCTGACATCCTTGTAAACTACTGACCCAATCGTCATGAACAATACTACCTACAGGTTTAGGAGCTGCAAATTTTTCTAAATATTCAATATCCACAACAGTCTCCGTTGAAAAACTGCTCTCTTCCATGTGCTTGCCAAGTGGAACTCGGAGAAATTCCCCATTAATGAGGAAGTCAAAATTAACGTGACAAATATCATCTTCATTTTTATCTGAATAAAACAACAAATAATTATTAGCGTCCTTAGTAGTCCTTCAAAACATAACAATAAAAGAATGTGCAAACAACGATTTTAGAATTATTTTTATAAACTTACCTGCGTTCAGTAGTTTATTAATGAGTGCACTGAGATCGGTAGTTTGCACATCAGCGGGCACAGAAAATGGACTATCTGCAATGGCATACCTACAAATTTACAATAAAATTAAATTTCAATAATAGCAGAAGTATAAAGGATGAAATAGGAAACTGAAGTCACATCAAAGTCATTGCAGATCAATTATGGATGCATATGATCAATTGTATTGTTGAAGAAATCTTCGTTGCAGCTAAGACTGACGAAATATCCATTCTGCATCACAAATCCGGCAAAATACTCGGGTGAGAAATACTTCATTCCCAACACAGTAGAAGGACTGTGATTCCCACTCTGTCTGGTAATGGTA